TAATCCTGTCCTGCGCCGATGGCTAGTCTCCGTTGAGGCAGGCCGCCGTGGCTGAAATTCGGTCTGGAGGACATTATATAAGATAATATTAGTTTTGTAGTTTTTTTACCCGAATTTAAGTTGCGATCTTATGTTGGGATTACGTAGAAATATTTTAAGCTCATTAACAAATGTTATCCGTGGCAGAGCCATGTTGCAACTATGTTATGGTAGCTGCCATAATGGTTCGGCTTAACCGAGAAGGACGTCTCGGTACGCTCTCACATAATGGGTGCGTTTGGCAGAAAAAAGCGCTAGCAAGCGCTTGTAAGCAAAATGGCGATCGTAAGCGGTAAGTGCTGTCAAATCGTAAGTAGCTATTTTCCTCTAGGACACGATGTTAGTTTTAACCGGGGACCTAACCTAATTTAAATATTTGTTTGTAAAGTATTCATATTAAAAACTTACCAATCATGAATTTTTAATAACATGTTATGTTTATTCATGTCATTATATTACTTAAAACTAATATTGCACAAAACAACTTATAAACTCTACTTCAAAACAAACAAATTAAATAAGCAAAATGGCGGATTGTGTCAGCGCTACTGAAGTAGCAATCGTGTCCTGGCCGAAAACTATTTTAGCGCTTGTAAGCGCTTGCTAGCGCTTTTTTCTGCCAAACGCACCCAATGATAGCGCAAAATAGCAGCTTGATGCTATTGACGTATGGTGAGTGTAGAAAACCGGAGACCCTTTTTACTGTCGGTTTATCGCAGTACATTTTAATTCTTAGTCAAAAATAATGTAGGTGGCCACAGCATCCACTCACCATTAGGTGGATTGTGTGCCCATTTGTAACAAAAAATGCTATTTTTCTTAATATCCTTTAATAAAGTTTTATTTTTCATGTGCATTTATTTATTCATAGCGTTTTCTTTGCTACTATATTTTTGAAATGAAATTGAAGAAATAAAACGTTGTGTTCAATACTTTAACTATTTTAACCTGGTCAGATTATTTGGATTTAGATTTTTCTATCACATGGAATAATTTAAAAACTATTTATTTATTCATAGCGTTTTCTTTGGTATTAAATTTTCAAATTGAAGAAGTAAAACGTGTACAATACTCTAAGAATCTGAAACCAGTCAAATTATCTGGATTTAGATTTTTTATACACATGGAATAATTTCAAAACTATTTATTTATTCATAGCTTTTTATTTGTATAGTAAAATATAGTACTATTTTCAAATTGAAGAAATAAAACGTAGTGTTCAATACTTTAACTATCTGAACCTGGTCAAATTATTTGGATTTCGATTTTTTATACAAATGGAATAATTTTAAAACTATTAGCAGAGCTGTAACAGGCATTACTCGAAACTAATGGCTCAATAACTAAGAAGCTTCACGTCGTGCCTTCCGCTATAAAAACTAAAAAATATCTAGTCAAGAAACTGACTGTTGTCGTTACGAAATAATGATCAGTAAAAAAAAGCGAAAAACCGAATAGTTAATTAACTGTTTTTACGTCATTTTTCTTTTAAAACCTTTGTGGAGATTATAATCAGTATACAGGCTATAAAGACAAAAAAATCCTTGATGAAGTAGTGTGTAATGGCAGTCGTTACTGCTAGATTTGACCGTTTATTACGTTATAGGAGTCGAGATTGTGAAACGCGGGTTCACACGAGTTCAGACTGTGCGATAAATGCGGCCTTGACCCAAGTGCACCCGACCCGATAAATAAAAGAAATTATGAAATCGTCGAAAAACTGTACCTACTGCTACTGCGAACGTTGCAAAATGAGTAATAAATAATACAATTTGTTAAGGTTAAGACTACACGAATTTTACGTTTGTATTTTCCGTGCTCATCACACTAGGGCTCTTATTTGCGAGGCGAGATATAGAGATCCCATATGTAAACGACAGATGCACGTATTTTTAATAAGCCGCATCGACTATAGTATCATAAATTTCTTTTAATATAAGTTAATATATAAATTTTATAAAAACTTTTAATATACTTTAATGAGATTACAAAAAATTTTAGCATTTAACTTTTAGAAATATTAAGCTTCGTTTCAAGCGCCTGTAATGAGTCTCAAAGCTTTGAGTCTAGAGCGTCTAGAGGTCTTAACTTTTTATATATACGAGTATTATACAGTAAGTAACTATAATGATAAAAATATTTTAACGTTTTCGACTAAATTATTACGCACATTAGTAAACTAGCTGGCATGGCAGAAGTTGTTCTGCTCTTTTCACTGCAACGAGTTTGATTTGAATACATATTTCTTAAGGAATTGATTGACTACACTAACATTTACTACTGTGCCCAGATTTCGTGGCTTTTTTTCATGTTGTGAATGTTAGTGTTGTGAAAATAAGTCATTTGGGTCCATAAACACTAAATATTTTGACTACAGCGCCTAGTATCGGATTCTAGATATCTACAAAATAAATACATTGTGTCAATATGAATTCAAACGGGCAAGCCGTACAGAAGTTACTTGTTGACTAAGATACGCAAATACGAAACTATTAGTTAAATAAAGATATAAAGATGTCTTCAAGGGTGACAAGATATCTAGCATTTTGGTTCTTATTTGAAGATAGATGAAGGTGTCTGTCTATAGGCCTTTCTACGATTAAGATGCGTTGATTATTTTAACAAGACAACATTTATCTAAACAATTTCCAAGTCCGTGAAGCGGACACAATTTTTACGTGGTAGAGCCATGCTGCAGTTATATTAGTAGTATAGTTGTAGCACGAATGGGTCGGCTCGACCGGGGAAGGACCACGCTCTCACAGAATACCAGCGTGAAATAGTAGCTTAATGCTGCTGTATTTCGTATGGTGAGTGTAGAGAACCGGAGACCCTTTTTGCTGGAAACGAGGCATTCCATCTCAGTCCTCACGGGTGACAACGCATCTGCATTTTGATTTTTAATGGAGGATAGATGTAGATGTCTATGGGCCGCAGCAACCACTTACCATCAGATGGACTGTGTGCTCGTTTGTCACCCTATTCTATAAAAAAAAAAACAATAGTTAAACAATTAAAATGTTGATATTTGATTCATGAGTCAGGGGAAGGGTTAAATTGACTTTTTTTACTACGTCGTGCAAAGCTATTAAAATATTACTTTTTTATTTATATTATAACTAGTAAACAAGACAAGATGGACGTATAATTATTAACTTGCAAGTCTGTATTGCAGTGGGAGATTTGTTGTTTCGTTCGAGATTTTTTATGCGTAAGAACATACGGAAACGATTTTATCTCGATCATGTATAAATCTTTAATAAAATTAATGTGTTTTATTTTTATTTATTTAATAATCTTTATTGAATTCCCATATAAAAAAGAATACAAAGGGCGGACATATATTAACATTGATATCAAGTAATAAAATGTATTTTATTTTTTATAGAATAGGGTGACAAACGAGCACACAGTCCACCTGATGGTAAGTGGTTGCTGTGGCCCATAGACATCTACATCTATCCTCCAATAAAAATCAAAATGCAGATGCGTTGTCACCCGTGAGGACTGAGATGGAATGCCTCGTTTCCAGTAAAAAGGGTCTCCGGTTCTCTACTATTTCACGCTGGTATTCTGTGAGAGCGTGGTCCTTCCCCGGTCGAGCCGACCCATTCGTGCTACAACCATACCACTAATATAACTGCAGCATGGCTCTACAACGTATAAAATGAATAAAAAAAATATATAAAACGTGATGAAACTAAAAACAATGATGAGGAAATCCTAACTAATATATATATATATATACACACATACACCTACAATTCGTGTGCCAGTACGACGCTGTCACTTAAGAATTTTTATTCCATCGTTTGTCAATTATGAACGTGTTGTATCATCAGTTGTTTTCCATACATGCAATAAAAATTCACACATTTATTTATAGTAGTGGTGATCCAGTGGTCGTGCAGTGGTCGAAATACGACCGCAATTTATTAAACTTATAACTAATACATAGATTTTTATACGAAAGCTCTATATACATTATAAAAAGATACAATTTATAAAACGAAATAAACCGTAACGTGTATTTCTTCCGCAAAAATAAATATTTCTTAAAGGAATCTTGATAATACATAAAATGGTGGAGTAATATTTTGAGAGCAGCTCTATTCTAATAGGTATAATAAATCACGGAATACATGTAGAGCATCGTTTTATTGCGTTTCTATATTATATTGTTGTGACACATTTTAGTTGCTTGGAGTTGAAGCGCTTTGTTAAACGAATATATTATGTTGAAAACGTTCAACAGTGCAGTAAACGACGGGCGGTGAGCAATGGAAACAATAAAATCTAATAAGAACATTGGAATACTCGTCTTGAATTGTCAATAAATTTATTTGCTTTAAAAAGATATCTGTAGTAACAACTAACATTAACATTGTTTATTGATCATTTTCGATTTTACTAAAGTTATTTATTAAGTCAACATCATATTTAAAGAAACCCTGCTTTCACCACGCTGGGCTTACTGTTGGTAGCTGAGTGAAGGTTACTGCTTTCCACCACCAAGTTTTAGGCAACATTTAGGTTCGAAATTTTGTTATGATGTTTCCGCCTTCAATCGTTCATCAACTTCTCATGATTTTACAGACTCCTTTTTGAAAGTCGTCTAACATCTTTTTACTTCATCGCCTTTACTTAAGTAAACACTTACTAGGCGTTTTAGGTTCAAAAATTAAGTACTGTGGTAGCAAGGTTTGTGACGTAAAACAATCACTTGTACAACAGTCCAAACGGTCCTTTTTTTCAAATGTGCAATTAGAAAGCATCGTAAAAGCTATCAGTAGCTAAATACATGTTGATTATAATATAAATATAATATTTACACTCATTTAGATTTTATATTACGAGTAATTAATTAATATAAAATAGTATACATAATTTTTTTTTGATACATTAAATAAATACTTACCGAATACATTAATAAGTATTGAGCAACGAAAAATCGTTAATGTTTAGACGAAAATAGAAAAAGCAACCTTGTTTTCATCACGACGACTTCCTGCTATTAAGAAATTGGCGAAATTAAATTAAATTTACAGCTAAACACAACCAATTTTCAAACGAATCCTCCCACACCGACTTTATCGTTGTATTTTGTCGAACTTTAAAAAACTTTTGAAATTAAATTAGAATTCGTTAAATACTTAGGCTACGCTTTTAAAATAACTATCTCACGAGTCATTTTGTTCTGGGTTTTATTTTTCATTATTTTTAATCTCGATCGAATTCGTATTTTAACACAAAAATAAGAAATAGCGTGACTAAATCTCAATTTAACATTTTCATTCCATAAATAGTATAAAAAATTGAAGTGTTCGTATATAAGTAGTAATGGTGGACATCGGGTGAACATATTCTTCAAAAAATGTGTTCAAAATAAGCTATGAAATACAAAAGAAAAAAATTGCAAATAAGCGTTGTAACTCGAGGTTGGATGCAAATTACCAATACAGAATTAAAAACCGCTTTGGAAGAATAATGTACGCTCGCAAAGGTCGTAGTAAACTTTTTAAGCATGATCGAAGTATAGCTGATGTTTTATTACTGATGCTATCTATAACCTTTTTACGGAATAAAAAGGGGACGGCGTCGCGCGGCTACGGTATAAATCTTAACGAGAAAATAATGAGGGATATAAGACGAACGATACATGATTTTACAGGACGCAAGTATTTTCGGGAGGACAAGTTATTCTTAATTGGTTCTTGGAAATTTTGTCACGTTTCGCCTTTTTGCCTCGCAACAAAATGGAAGTAGAGTAATCGTTTGACTCGGATTTTTCTTGTTCATTTTATGCACCGCTGGTCTGGTATAAACCAGGTAAAAACCGAATGTAGTCGGATAATGTCATTTGATTATTATCCAATTCGATCTTAAATGTGATATCTATAGTTTTCTATTTATTAGTCTCTCTCAGCGTTTACACAATCTTTTAGTGCAGTTTATTATTGTTGGTGGTGATACGCGAAATAACGTCACCGTCACGTCTTGTTACTTATTTGCATTCATGGACATGGAAATGGAAAAATTGTAGCCTGATATCAAATCCTAACGCGAATTGCATTCGCGTCGGAATTTACCTTCGGTTGTTAGAGAAGTGTCAAGGTTATCACCTTGACTATTAGGTATTAATAATGGCTAACGCACAATTTGCTGTAAGATATAGAAATAACGCAACACTCAGGTCATTGCTCTCACTATCGCTTTGACGCGATAACATTAAACACGGTAAAATCCTTTTAGCGCTGATAATAGCATTAGCTAGTTTAACGTGAGCTCCAACCACTTCGAAGGATCTTTGGGAACAGGGTCAGGCGTGGGAAATCAAAATAAATTGCTACAACTTTGTTTTCTTTAGCTATACGATAACACTTCTAATGTTCTTATTTAGGACGGCATGTGTCAGTCAATTGGGTTGTAAAATTATTGTATTTGAAGTTAACCAGGTTCCAAAAACGAGAAGTTACTGTAATAATCCACGCGCATGTTCTTTATGTATGACTTATGATTTTTCCAAGTTTTTAATGTAACTACTTAGACGACATATAATATTTAAGGCCACGGCCATTTCATTCTTGCACCAGCTTCAGAAGCTAGGGGGCGTTACGTATCACATAATGCAATTTTTGACCGGCCCCTGTAACACGCCGTAACGTTTTTCTATACCCCCCCCCCCCCCGCCCTAAAATATTCGTTACACCCAAAAGACTATTATTACCTAAAAGTCACAATTATAATGCGCAAAGTTCCGGAAAGTTGCTAAAATACCTTATTATCTTATTGTTTTAATCGCGTTTGCGGTAATAATAAATAAAACAAGAGATTTTTAACTCGCAACACATGCGTATATTGTTTATTTTATTTAATAAACAATCCCACATAATGTATTAAACATTTGTTTACGTTTAAAATGTGCTCTAATTTGTAGAAGAGGTGACAGACCAACTGATAACGTCACAAGGAGGGTGAAAACTAGTTAACTTGCAAGATCCTTTGTCTAGCTGACTAGGTATTACGAGCTTGCTTGGGGTTTGAGTGATTGGGCAGGGTGGCGGCAGAAAAGTACACGGAAAGACAGACTTCAATGCACTCCTCAAGCGGGAACAGCAGGGTTCGTCAGCGCATTTAATCACTTGTAAGAAATGTTGTGATTCACGGACGTGGGCGCTGTACCACACCAAATTAGTTTCTGCTGGATCCTGCAAGCTATCTTCGGGCTTTTCGTTTAAATAAAAAACAATGTTACGTCATACGTTGTTCGATGCCCCATCCCGTCCTTGTCTAGGATCGTAACGTTTTAGAAGACGTCCCCTGCTCTCAAATTGCGTTACATAATACTTGAACGCGACGAGACTAATATTACGTGGAAATTATTTTATTTCTTTTAGGTTAAAATAAATAAAAAAACATAAAATTTTTGTTTATTTTAGTCTTTAGAGTGAACTACGGAATATCACATAAGGAATATCCTTTATGGTGTCGGTGTAAGAATAACCACTACGCCATATCATCCCGTGGGTATCGTAAGAGGCGACAGGGGGAAACAAATTAGGAGAAAAAAAAAAGTAAAATCCCCCCTATGAGGCAACCTATGGGGGAGGCCTATTTTCAGCATCGGACTTTAATAGGCTGTAATAGAATTGATTCCAATACAACTAGAATGTAGTCTCAAATAGTTATTGAATATTGTGTTTGTGAGATGTAGTTTTTGTAGATATTTTATAAATATACGACAGTTTTAACTGTCGCCGGTTCCCGCACAATCTTTAGCTATTTTCTTTGTATTAACTTTGTGTACCACCCGTCGCGTCAGCACTCTAAACACCGTCGCAAATGACTGAAAAGCTCTTAGGAAATGGAGTATTGTAGTTATTTTGCTAATGACAGAATGTAAGGCACACATTCGATATGAGAATACCGTTAAGCTCCCGCTGTTATGCAATCGTGTACGGCACATAAACTGGGTCGAGTATAAAACACGATATTACAGTAAAGTATTTTTTACCCTCTTACACACCTCTTCTTAGAATTTCGCTTTCCATAGAAAACTTTATAAAGCGAATAATCAAGATGTATGTTTAGAATAAAGCGTTTTTATGGTTTACTTTTATAGACTACTTCTATGGTGACACACATGCACACAGTCAACATAATGGTAACTGAATAATGAGACCACCTATATCTCTCTTTGATACTTATATATAAGGAAGGACTTTTATAGATTACTTTGTGATACACACGTCTACCTGACGGTAACTGAACGCTGATTTCATAATTAATAGAAGTACGTATACCTGTCCTTGATAAAGAACCAAAATGCACATGCGCTATCAACTCTGGCGCCGGAGATAAAATGCCTCGTTATCAATGAAAAGAATTTCCGGCCCGCGTCACTTACAATATCAAATAACAATATTACATCTATATTTATCTATATCTATGTCTTTTACGCCAGTATTAAGTGCAAGAGTTGTCCTTCTGCGGTCAAGCTAGGGTAAGCTTCATCTTCATAGTGCAGCCATTAGGTATACAACTTTAGCGTGGTTCTACCACGTAAAACGAGAAGAGATCCATTTTGTGTTTATAAAACACTGATATAGGATAATTTAAGTCTTAGGCTGGTATTCGCAGTCAATCTCGAGTTTAAACTCAAATGTTTACATTGTGGAGTTTGAGTTCAAACTATGTAACTATATAACGAAATGTCCATGAATTTTATTGTTGTAAAATTTATATATTGCATTAGTCTTTATTAATGTACAAAATTGTATATGTTACTTACATATAATACTCACGCCTGTCACCCAGAGGGGTAGGCAGAGACTACGGACTTCCATTTGGCACGATCCTGACATACCTCTTTCGCCTCCTTTACATCCATATATCTACGCATACATGCTCGTCGGTTAAGGGTACTTCTAACGTGGCCCCTTTTCAAAATATCGCCAATTTGGTCGATAAACTTTTTTCTAGGGCGTCCCTTCCCGACTCGGCCGTTCACATCTGCCATATAAATTTGCTTTGTCACTCTTTCCTCATTCATTCTTTCTACATGACCAAACCAACGAAGCATTCCTTTCTTAATCCTGGTCACAACATCATCTTGCATACCACATTTATCTCTTACGAGTATCATGCAATTTCTCACCCTGTCATTCAGATTCAACCCTAGCATACTCCTTAAAGACCGCATTTCTACAGCATTTATTCTACTTTCGTGCTTCTTCTGCCACACCCAGCTTTCACTACCCATACATTAAAGTAGGGACTAACACAGCATTATGAATTACCATACGTGCCTTTTTTGACACATTCTGGTTCTTCACAATAGAGTGTAGTCCCACATTCACTCTATTCCATGCATTTACTCCTCGTTCTATATCTCTATCATATATACCATCCCTGCTAAATACACATCCCAAATACACAAACTCATCCACTTGCTCAATTAACTCTCCTTCTATTCTCCTTCTATACCGTTTATATGTTACTTAAATGAATATAAAAATATTTATTACTTTGTATGTCATTTCATTCTCGAAACGGGCGATGCAATGAAATAATACCTCATTTGATTTTAATTAATGGTATATAAAATATTGTAAAAATAAATAACATATTGAATATAATTAATCATAGATAAAATTATGTAATTTTCTAGTAAGCGAACATGTGAAATTGTTTGTGTTGTGGTGTGGGCGAGGTTTCTCAACGAAAGTGAAACAGTTGCATGAATAATGAGCCATCGTACCCAAATGATATTCGTAACACCTCGTAACATCGAGAATGTTTCATCATAAAGATGGAAGTATTAAATCGTTGGTGTAGCAACATATAAATTATTCTTAAAAAACAAAAAACTGACTGCAGTGATCTGAAACAAAAGGACATTATATCTCTTACGCGGATATCGTCCTCATCGTCATCGTCATTACAGCCTATCACAAGTCCACGGCTGAACTTGGGATTCCTCCATATATTGTCACAGGTCACGCGTCTGAGCTACCTGCATCCATCGACTTACTGCATGTTTCGTTTGATGATGAGGAGGAGAGCAGTCAAGTCTGCCAAGTATAGTACGTGGTAGAGCCACGCTTCACCAATATTATAGTTATAGCACGAATGGGTCGGCTCAACCGGGGCAGGAACACGCTCTCGCAGAATACCAGCGTAAAATAGCAGCGTAATGCTGCTGTGTTTCGTATGATGAGTGTAGAGAACCAGAGATCGGGTGGATTGTGCGGTGATGATTTCAGTGTTGTTATAATTCTTTTATGAAATAGACAATTAACACAAAAGCAAAACTAATTTGTTACTTTTTTGGGTTATGTTGCTATTTTACGCTGGTATTCTGTGAGAGCGTGGTCCCGCCCCGGTTGAGCCGACACATTTGTGTCACAACCGTAATGTAGCTGCAACATGGCTCTACTACGTAACAAATACGAATATCTTAATATAATGAAAACAACAAACAAACTTACCTATTTTTCCATTAGGGCTGTAGGGTCCGTAGCTGCTGGAGGAGAGTGGCGAGGAGTACCCGTTGTTTGGCTGCGGCTGTACTGCGGCGCCGGGCGAGGGCGAGCCGCCGCCGGCAGCGCCGCCCGCCATCCACTCGCGCACGTGCCCGTTGGCCGGGTGCCCGTTGTGGCTGACCCCGGGCTCCGCCTTCACCTGGCCGGGCAGCACGCCGCGGTACGCCACCTCGTGCTTCAGGTCCATCCCGCTGCTACCGCATGCTGATGCCACGCCGGCCCCGCCGCTCGCGCTCCACACTTCTGTTGGACAACAAATTTGTGATCATCAATTTATGCAAATTGTTTTTTAATTTATTCTTATAAATAGTGTACATTATTTATATTTTAAATTTTGCCAAAATGTAAGCCAGTTTGTCGGCAACAAATTACAAAGTAAGAGTACATTTATTAATTACAACTTATTTTCATAGTTAGAGTCATTGTATCATAGTCATATGTTATAAAAATAGTAAGCACACATAAAATTAAAGTTAAATAAAATTTAATTGATAGCCCAATTGCGTTCCATTCTAGAGCATTATCTATATGTCTATTTCTTAGTAGTTTATTAATGTGTTCATACGATCTATTCTAAAGATATAGTTATAAAAACTAGATGTACATCTTTGTATTTTAGTACGTTATAATCGCTGGTTCTTGGTTCGTCTGTTAGTGATCGTGTAACTTCTATAACGTTACCGTTATAGGCTAAAAGTCCATTGCTGAAAATAGGCCTGCTCCATAGACTGTTTTATAGGCTGAATATTTGCCACAGTAGTTACGCTTGGCAGACGAGTTGGCAATGGCAGTATTTTATATGTTATTTAAGAAAATGTTTTACAACGTTAGCATAATTCAAACGGTACGACACACAAACAAATTGATAACAAAATAAAGATACGCTATTTACTATAAAATTTAAGCGAAATATTGTTAAAAAGTTATAAATATCTAGTAAAGTATTTGCAGTATTTTATATTTAGTTGTTATTAGGAAGACGATGCTGCCCATCTTTTGGTTCGTTTCTTTGTCACCGGTAATGACACCCAAGGGGTGATATGGGGAAGTGGATATTCTCGCACCGCCACTTCACGGTAACTTCTGTACGAACGTCGAGACGATGCGATGGTTCATAACTAAACCTGAATACCCCGATAGGTGGTTCTGAATTTAAGTTATTAACAATTTTTATATTTAAGGAACAAACGGACCAACCTAACTCTATTCACTATATAAGTATGATCGTTTAGTGCCAAAAATTGACAAACAAAATCTGAACCTAATAGGCGGCTATGTTGTAGTGGTATAATCTGTTTTATATTTACACTAAAAAGTTCGGAGTGAAACTCATCGCGCCATCTACCGGTAAAGGCTATAAAATATATAACATTTTAAACAACGATAAGGATAATTTTTTTTTTATAAATTAGATATTTTGCAATTTAAAGTCGAGCCCAGGTCTCCTTATCTCTGAGAGAGTAATAGAGCAGTTGACTCGCTGCGTTGTGCGTATTGGTGGACTGCGAAGACTGTGAAGCCTACAAAATATTTTATTCTTCAAATTTGCAGGTTTCGTTACGATGTTTTCCTTCAGCAGGATTGTTTTAGTGATCATTTAACTTAATAGCTTGAATACGCAATTTTGTTGCTCCCACGGTCACCAAATGAATGCGTGTGGCCCAAATCTTTCCTTCGTGTGAATAATAGTATCTGTGCCAAATATTACTTTGTAAGTACCTACCTAATAGATTATAATGCTGATTGCGTACTATTAGAAATAATGTTTTTGTTATTGTATAATACTAAATAACATAAATTGATAAATTTAACAAACGTTAATAATTCAATACGTGTGTAAAAGAATAGAATACGTCTCATTCAGGAATTTTTTATGTTTTGTTTTTACTTTCGAATGTTTGCTTATTTAACAGATTAAAAAATGTCTTCTAGTAAAAAGTTTAAGTTGACTTAAGATACCTAAAAAATATAATTACTCCACATTCTGAGGTCGGGGGAATTCTTCTACATATTATGTCTTCTTGTTCACCCACTTCAGAATTATTAAAAGTTTCTTTGTTAGAAATATCGCAACGTCGTCCGAATAGTGACTTTAAAAACTTCATGCTCTACTTTGCCACCCTATTAAATAAATAAAAGGTCATCAAAATTGGTTCACGATTGATGAAGACTTCGCGTAATATACATACAAAAACGAACAGTAGAATTGTAAACTTTTTCCTTCTTTTAAAGTCAGTTAAAAATATGCACTTCGTCTGTAATGTAATGTGGAGCGTATTAAACTGAAAATTTCTTTAAAGGCTTTATTAAATTATTATTTTAACAAAGTTGCGATCCCAACTTGTTTCTTGATAAAATAGTAGACAAATTTACGAGGGCTAAAAGAATATACTTTTACAGTCGACTGAGGTGACCTAATCTGATCTTTAACTTTAATGACACCTATACGGTCATTTTTATTGTTGAGAGGTTAGAACACCAGGAACCAACAAAATAAATTTGTTCAACGTACAACTAAAAAACAAAGAGATCTATTCAAATAAAACTAGTTTTTACGGATTACATTGCGTATATTAACTTATTTTATATTCCCGACGTTTCAAGCACTTTACAGCACCCATGGTCACTGGAAGACTGAGATGTTCGACTGCTCAGTGTCATGGTTAACCACGGATACTTCCAGATTAAAATTATTATTTTTTGTTCTGATCCATGCAGCATAAATTATTTAAGCGATATAATCCGTAAAAACTAGTTTTATTTAAATGTGTAGTGTTAGCGTAAACATAAGAAATCATTACAAACAGATCAAATTGTGTGGAGAAAACGAGATGTACTGCTAAAGATAGTACATTTATACGTGATAGAGGCATGCTGCAGTTACCTATATTAGTAGTATACTTACAGCACGAATAGGTCGGCTCGACCGGGGAAGGACCACGCTCTCACAGAATCCCAGCGTAAGATAGTAGTTTATTTGTCATAGTTACTACGCATCGCTAGCGGCATGGAGGTTACATAACAGGCGAACGATCGCTGTAGAAAATAGTGTCCCAGAAATATGGACAAAATAAGTGAGGCGTTGCGATCGCTAAGTTGTCTCAATAAAAGCGGGCTGTTGTGCGTTAGTTTGAAATTATAATATCATTCAAAGAAAAAAAAGAAAAAAAACGAAATTATTATTATTTATTAACAAATAAATTATAAATTATGTTTTTTATAATTTTAATTATTATAAATATTATAAATTATTACAAATATAAATTATTAATTATTATTGATTTATTATTATTGTTTTCTAATGATATTTCACTATTTTATAATGTTTCTTTTTGTCAATAATTAAAAATTTACTTCGCAGATACTAGGTACTTACCGACGGCAGCGCGGCTAGAAATTATACAAATTTTCGGGGACAGGCGGGCTATGCTTTAGCACGTAGCGATCGTTCTCCTGTTGTCAAACCTCCATGGCTAGAGGGTTGGCAACCGCAGTTTTATTTTTTATTTTTAATCGTTATTAAAAAGACTGCTGCCCATCTCCTAACTTGTTTCCCCCTGTCGCCTCTTACGACAACCACGGGATGATATGGGATAGTGGTTATTCTTACATCGCCACTACACGGGAAAGGACCACGCTCTCACAGAATACCAGCGTAAAATAGTGGCTTAATGCTTCTATGTTTCGTACTGTGAGTGTAGAGAACCGGAGACCCTTTTTACTGGAAACGACGCATTCCATCTTAGTCCTCACGGGACAACGCATCTGCATTTTGATTCGTAATCGAAGATAGATGTAGATGTCTATGGGCCACAGCAACCACTTACCATCAGGTGGACGGTATTGTTGTCATCCTATTCTGTAAAAATTAACCGATTTGCTATCGACTATTTTTTCGATGACGAAACAATCAGTAGACATAGATTCCGTGTTAATAAAAGATATACGTAGATTAATAGTAGATGGCCTTCACACTGCCGATGAGAACTCTCTCCCCACTATTTTGTCGCAGCCACAAGAGCTATCAAAGACAAAACTCGCTCAGCGACGCTCGCTTGACGCTCGGAACTCACGCCGAGAGACTAGCCAGCGGTCATTTTACTCTACAATGCGGATCTGAATGCACTCACTTGTAGCCCAGCGACAATACTATCAGTACTACACACTTGATCATTATTATTATTATTATTACTTATTCACTTCTCGCTGCTCGTCAACTCTTATTTAGTTTCTAGCTATACTCGCTTCTCGTTCATCGTTGGCGATGGAACAAGTGGCTTACTACTATAAAAAAAGAATAGGTCTCTTCATAGTTAAATTATATCGTAGGTATTTCTGGACTAGTATATTTGTAAGGGTTATCCGCCATTTGTCAGAGATTTATTGGAATTTTTCGTAGAATTTTAATACACTCGATTACACTCGAAGTGATCTTACAGAAACAAGTAATAAACAGTGATCTCAAAGATAGGAATTTTTAATATTGAATATATTTAATATTTTCCTCATTATCTTTTTCATATAGAAGTAGATATTTTATCTGTGCACGTTTTCATATAAACCATCAGGCGAAATTCGCGGTATTTCTCATAATATCTTATATTATGTATAGTCAATGTTGCCTGGCCGTTCGCAGCGCAAGCGGTGTTTAATCGATTTGCTTATGTTCATTTTTCCATCTGTTGTCAGATATCTTATTACTACTGTTCAAATGTGTTATACTATGGTCGAAAACGTTTTTATAATATTTTGTGCTCGTTTTTTTCGGCAAATGTTATTCAGATGTCAAACTGAACACCGGGAACAAAGTCTAAAATTAAGATGTTTCTTCAAATTCACCAATGTGAGAGACTATTGTTTCCAACTACGGGCTGTTCAGGCTGCATATTCTAAAAGCAAGCTAAATTAATTATTACACACCACGATTACAAAGCCGGATTCTTTGTTCCAATCCTAGCCAGAGTCAACATTTGTATAAAATTTATACAACATTTGTGTAATAAATCCTTGTTGGTTTTCAGCTCTGATTGTTTTTTGTTCTGGTCCTCATCTCCAAAATTTTTAACATATTTTACTACAAGGTAGGACTTCTTTTCTACTTAAGTATACATTTGGTAGGTATCACCTTATACTGTTATGTTTCGTTCTAAAGGATATAGAGAAACAATACAACGAAATCCTTGGAGACTTTCGATTTTAGTCCTCAAAGGTGACGCATCTTTTTTGTGTGAAGTTGGCTTTAG